CATAGTTTTTATCTTATTCATTTTCTTAAATAACTTCCTTTAACATTTCATTTAATAAGGGCTTAGTGATAATGAACTCCTTTAGTTTTACCTTTTCTGGGAAGTATTTTATCTGCCCTTCCATTCTAAATGATAACTTTGCTGCGTAGAGTAATCTAGGTTTTAGGTCCTTGCTTTTCATCACTTTGAATATACTTCTTTCCAGCCCCTTCTTGCCTGCAGGGTCTCCTTTGAGAAATCAGCTGACAATCTTATGGGAACACCTTTGTAGGTAACTCTCTGCTTTTCTCTTTCTGCTTTTCTCTTTCTGCTTTTAAGAATCCCTCTTTATCTTTAACCTTTGGCATTATAATTACAATGGGTCTTGGTGTGGTCCTCTTTGGATCCAACTTGTTTGGGACTCTCTGTGGTTCCTGGATTTATATATCCATTTTGTTTGTCAAATTAAGGAAGTTTTATTTCATTTTTTTAAAATAAGTTTTCAATTTCTTGTTCTTCCTCTTCTCCTTCTGGCATCCCTATGATTCAGATATTGGCACTTTTGGAGATGTCCCAAAGTCTTCTTATTCTCTCCTCATTTTTTTTGAATTCTTATTTCTTTGTTCTATACTGGTTGACTGTTTATTTTGCCCTTATGTTCCAAATCATTTTGTATCCTGGCTTCCTTCCCTTCACTGTTGGTTCCCTGTAGATTTTTCTTTATTTCACTTAGTGTAGCCTTCATCTTCCCTTATGTGTTTGCCATACTCAGTGAGTTCTCTGATCACCTTTATACCAGTGTTTTGAACTCTGCATCTGATAGGTTGGCTGTCTGTTTCACTTAGTTGTTTTTCTGGAATTTTGATCTGTTCTTTCATTTGTGCCATGTTTCTTTGTCTCCTCAATTTGGCAGCCTCCCTGTGTTTGTTTCTGTACATTCAGTAGAGCTGCTTTAGTTGTTTTTCTGGAATTTTGATCTGTTCTTTCATTTGTGCCATGTTTCTTTGTCTCCTCAATTTGGCAGCCTCCCTGTGTTTGTTTCTGTACATTCAGTAGAGCTGCTTTGATTCCCTGCCTTGGTGCACCTGCTACATTGTAAGAGGTAGAACTTTAGGTATTCACAAAGAGGAGGCAACCATCTTCACTACTATATGGCAGTGTATGTGGGGGAGGGGCCAGAGAGGGAACAATGCTGCTTGGTCAGCACTCACCCCATTTCCAGTCACTTCACCCACTCCCCAAATACGACTGGTACCCCTCTAGCTATTGCCTTGTGGAGGTTCCCAGGCTGGGTCAGTTCGAGTATCTTATAGGCATGGTGGGGGCCCGTTAAATGGACTCTCCTGAGGGACTAGCAGTTTCTTCCACTGCTCCATCCTCTACTGGCTTTTATAGCCAGAAGTTATGAGACTTTATCATCCTGGCATTGGAGCACTGGGCTGTGCAGTATGGCCTGGAGCTGAGACTGCTCCTTCCTCAAGTGTCCCTCCTGATTTTTATCCACCACACATGAATGTGGGGCCACCCATCCTGCCAGCCACTGCTACCATCTAGCCACTGCCACACCGCATCATCTCCAATCTAGCATCCCGTCTCTTTCCCTCCTGCCCAACTGGATGAATGTTTCTTCTTTACCTCCTTAGTTGTCAGACTTCCACACAATTTAATTTTTTGGCAGTTCTGGTTGTTTTCTGTTTTGAAGTTAGTTGTGATCCTTCTCATGGTTGTGCAAGAAGGTGAAGCATGTGTACCTACACCTCCATCTTAGCCAGAACTTAATTTCTCTTTCTGATAGTTCGTGGTTATTGTATAGGAATACAACAGATTCCTGTGTAATAATTTTGTGTCCTGCAACTTAATGACTTTGTTAGTTCTAATGGTTTTTTGATGGAGTCTTTAGGGTTTTCTATAAATAGTATCATGTCATCAGCAAATAGGGACTGTTTTACTTCTTCCTTTCCCATTTGGATACCTTTTATTTCTTTTTTTGTCTGATTGCAGTGTCTTGTACTTCCAAAACTATGTTGAAGAACAAGGTGAGAGTGGGCATGCTCGCATTGTTCCTAATCTTAGAGGAAAAGCCTTGAGTTTTTCATCATTGAGTTATATGGATTTGTCATATATGACTCATATTATGGTGAGGTATATTTCCTTTATACCCAGTTCATTGAGAGTTTTTATCATAAATGGATGTTGAATTTTATCAAGTGCCATTTCTGCATCCGTTGTGATGATCATATGATTTTTTTATCCTTCATTCTGTGAATGTGTATCATAATGGTTATTTGTGGATGTTGAACCATCCTTGCCTCCCTGGAATAAATCCCTCTTGACCATGGTGTATGATCCTTTTAATGTATTGTAGAATTTGATTTGCTAATATATTGGTGAGGATTTTTGCATCTAAGTTCATCAGGGATATTGGCCGATAATTATCTTTTTTTATAGTGTCTTTTTCTAGTTTGGGTATGAGGGTATGCTGGCCTCTTAGAATGCCTTTAGAAGTATTCCTTCCCCTTCATTTTTTGGAATAGTGTAAGAAGAATAGATATCAACTATTCTTTAAATGTTTGGCAGAATTCATCGGTAAAACCTTGTAGTCCTGGACTTCAGCTTGTTGGGAGTTTTTAGATTATGGACTCAATTTCATTACTAATTGCTGGTCTGTTGAGATTTTCTATATCTTCCCGAGTCAGTCTTAGAACATTTTTTGTTTCTAGAAATTTGTTGATCTCTTCTAGGTTGTTGAGTTTGTTGCTGTATAATGTTCATAGTAATCTCTGTGATTCTGTGTGTTGCTGGGATGTCTGTTTTTACTTCTTTTTCATTTCTGATTTTATCCATCTGGTCCCCCTATTTTTCTTAGTGAGTCTGGCTAAAGGTTTATTAATTTTGTCTGTCTTTCCAAAGAACCTATTCTTAGTTTCCTTGATCATTTTTATTATTTTATTTTCGTCTCTATTTCATTTATTTCTACTCTGACCTTTATAACTTTCTCCTTTTTACTTACTTTGGGATTTGTTCTTTTTCTAGTTCCTTTCAAAGTAAAGTTGTTTGTGTAGCATTTTTCTTGTTTCTTGGGGTAGGCCCATATCACTGCAAACTGCCTTTTTCGAATTTCTTTTGCTGCATCCCGCATATTTTGGTACATTATGTTTCCATTTGTATGTGTGTCAATGTATTTTTTATTTTTTATTTGATTTCTTCTTTGACACATTGGCTTTTTAGTTGCACATTGTTTAGCCTCCAAGTGTTTGTCTTTTTTCAGTTTTTCTTCTTATAATTGATTTCTAGTTTTATACTGTTTTGGTCACAACAGATGCTTGATATAATTTCAGTCTTAAATTTGTTTAGACTTTCTTTATGACCTAACATGTAATCTATCCTGGAGAATGTCTCATGTGCACTTGAAAAGAATGTATATTCTGTTGTTTTGGATGGAACATTGTCTATTAATTCTAACTGGTATAATGTGACATTTTATTTTATTCAAATGAATATTTCATTTCTAAAAAATGAAATATTTTTTCTAAGCAGCAGAATTTTAACTTTTTATTTTATTTTAGAGAGAGGGGAAAGGGAGGGAGAAAGAGAGGGAGAGAAACATCAGTGTGAAAGATAAACATCAATTGGTTGCCTCTCACAAGGGCCCGTACCGGGGACAGAACCTGCAACCCAGCCATGCGCCCTGACTGGGGATCGAACCCACGACCTTTCACTTTGTAAAACAACACCCAACCAACTGAGCCACACCAGTCAGAATTATGTCTGTTAATGTTTACTTTATGTATTTAGTTGCTTCTCTGTTGGTTACATAGGTATTCACACATGTTAGATCCTCTCCTTGGCTTGATCCCTTTATCATTATGTAAGGCCTTTCTCTGTCTCTTCTTTCAGTCTTAGTTTTAAAGTGTTTTGTCTAACATCAGAGTTGTTATTACCCCAGCATTCTTTTTATTTCCATTTGCATGGATTAAATTCCTAACTTTCAGTCTGTGTGCATCTTCAGATCTAAACTGAGCCTCTTATAGGCAATGTATAGATGTGTCTTGATATTTTTATCCATTTAGCCACCCTATGTCTTTTGATTGGAATATTTACTTTTAAAGTAATTATTGATAGGTATGTACTTACTTCATAAATGTTCTTTAAATCATTTCTTCCTGCCCCAGCTGGTGTGGCTTAGTGGATTGAGCACAGACCTGCCAACCAGAGGGTCGCCAGTTCAAGCCCCAGTCAGGGCAGATGCCTGGGTTGCAAGCCAGGTCTTCGGTAGGAGGTGTGTGAGAGGCAACCACACATTAATGTCTCTCTCCATCTCTTTCTTCCTCCCTTCTCCTCTCCCTAATAAAATCTTTTTTTAAAAGACTTGCTATTAAAAATAAATAAGTAATTAAATAAGTCATCTCTTCCTTACTTTTCCACTGCCAACAGGATCTCATAATGCACCCTTGGGCCAGTGTAACCCTCACTTCCCCGTCTCTAGAATGGACAGTTACAACACTGTACTTGTCAGGTAGAGCGACTGCTCTGCGGAACTAATAATGTAGATGGAAGCCAGTGGGTTGTAAAGCTGCTGGCCTCCTCCCCCGTCAGAGGGCCGTTTGTCATCAGGTCTCAGGGAACGGGGTCCGGGAAATGAACTGTCCAATATAAAATAGCCATCTAGTCCCTTCCTGTCCTTTATTCCCATTTTAATGTTCTGCAGAATGCTTTCTGTTAATCTTTACTGTTACTGTTACTATTTATTTTCACAGTTCCCCCTTCCCACCCTCCACCTGAATGTAAATAAGGTTTTTGTCTTACAAGAAAACTGTGGCACATGGTAGACAATTCAGAAGAGTTATTGATGGATTAATAAGTGAGTAAATGACTCAGTCTTTTCCTCAACACTAATCTTCTCTCCTGCAGCCTAAATTAGGGGAGTGTTATTGTGGAACAACATGAATTAAGAAGTTTATCGATTGGCTCTTGAGGAGGAAATGTCACCCTTATTTCTTTTCTTTTAACCCTCACCCAAGGATGTATGTTTATTGAGTTGAGACAGAGAGAACATCAATGTAAAAGAGAAACGTCAGTGAGTTGCCTCCTGTATGCCCCCCATCTGGGGACTGAACCCACCACCTAGTATGTGCCCTGACCAGGAATTCAACCTGCAACCTTTCTGATGTAAGAGACAGCACTCCAATCAACTGAACCACCCAGCCAGGACACCCTTATGTCTTTAGTTCAGGAAAACTTCATAGAAAAGTATATGGAGGTTCAGAACCATAAGTGGAAAAATAATAACTAACAGTGTTACTTAAGTATAGAAATAAATTAGCTTTGACATTTCTTCCATGCTTTCAGCTGCCTTCATTTTCATGTGTAAGAGAGCTAATGTAAAGCTTCAGGGATAAGTTTTGTATGCAGTGCAGAAGAATAGGTATCTTTAGGACTTCCATTGAATCAGATTCCGTCATGTCTCTGAGACATTTGAGGATATTATAAAAGAACTTAAAGGCAGAATGTATAAAAGCACATGTTTTGACACCAGAATACCTAGGTTTGAATACTGGTTCTACCGTTTATTTGCAGAGTAACCTTGGGCAATTTTCTTGATTTCTACATACATGTATAATGATGAAATACCTACTTTAAAAAATAGTTGTTATGAGGACTACAATTTTAAAGTGAGGTTATGCAACAGTGCCATATTTATTTTAAGTGCTAGGTAAGTGTGCAATATTATGGCTATTGTTCCTTATTCAGACTTACTTTTAGCTATAAGAACTTTCTTAAAGAGTGATGACTGTAGTTAAGCTGAAGTAACATCTGGTTTTAAAAGCAAAGCAATTTATGCGGTTTCTTAAATATAAATTATCTGTGTGAGAAATATGCTGATATTAACTACACCAATTGTGTGATTATATTCCCTTTAACTTTCAGGAGAATCCTCATTGACACTGGAGAACCAGCTATTCCAGAATATATCACCTGTTTAAAGCAGGCTCTGAACGAATTTAACACAGCAATCCAGGAAATCATAGTGACTCATTGGCATCCTGATCATACTGGAGGGATAACAGATATTTGTAAAAACATTAAGAATGGTAAACAGAATACATTCATTAAGCTCATTGAGGGAAACTGTGTTTTGAGAATAATTTGTTTGTTACAAGCTAGTAAACCATTTACTAAATATCTTTTTTTAAAGATTTTATTTATTTAATTTTAGAGAGAGAGGAAGGGAAGGAGAGAGAGGGAGAGAAACATCGATCTCAGTTGCCTCTCGTACGCCCCCCAATCCGAGACCTAGCCCAAAACCCAGGTGTACGCTCTGACCAGGAATCAAACTGGTGACCTTTTGGTTTGCAGGACAATGCCCAACCCACTGAACCACGCCAGCCAGGGCTGTATACCTCATATTTAAATGCTACTTTTAGAAATTAATATAAGAAAAAAACTTATAAGTAACAAAGTTACTTATTTTAACTTTGTTAAAACTCTGCCCATTTTTAACAAAGGAAAAAATGTAAAAGTCCTATTTTCTATTTCTTCTCCCTCTTATTTTTCCCCTCTGCCCAGTGATGAAGGTCAGTTTTAACTTAGTCTGTGTGATAGTTACTACTTCAGATTTCATGATAACTAACCACTGTTGAGCATGTGTGCCAGATACTGTGCTATACACTTTACATGGGTACTAGAGGCAGTTGCTGTTACTGTCCACATTCTAAACATTATCTCGGGTCTTCCTTAGCTTTAAGGCAGTTACTCTGATATACTAAATACTGGTGAAAGATCATTGTGTAGATAACCCTCTGTTCCTGAAACCTGTTGAGTACTAGTGCTTTACCATCTCTCCCTACTCCTTCATCCCACCCTCACACATTCATTCATTCGTTCATTCCTTTAACAAATATTCAAGTTGCTGCTATATCCAAGCACTGATCTTGGTACAAGGGAAGTAACGGCAAATAAAACAAAGACTGTGCTCTCATAGGGCTTTCATTCTAGTAGGGAAGGTAAATGGTAAATATAATAAGTTAGATGGGGATAGGTGCTATGAAGAAAAAGCTAAGTGAAGAAAAAGAGAAGAGAGAATAAAGTGAAAGAGAGCTGTAGCCATCATACCTAGGGTGGAGAGGGAGTAAGCTATATAGGTGTCAAAGGAAGGTACACCAGGCAAAGGGCGTTGCAGGAGCAGGTACGAGAATGGGAGTGTGCTGGACATGTTCAAGGCATGTGAAGGACAAGGAAGTCAAGAATATTTATGCACAACTAATATTTTTAAGTATCTTCTTTTTAGGCCTTGAGACTACAATTGGAACCAAAAGGTATTCTTAACTACAATAGTATCACCAGGCTGCTTATTATAAAAAGCTGTCCAACCTAACTTTCTTACCCCATTAACCCCTTTCTTCCGATCCAAGAGGGACTATATGCCATAAGAAATAATTCTCTCCCACTTTGACTTTTCCTCGCCTTTTTCTTGTCTATCTACCCATTAAATTTTGTGAATAAAAAAACTGTGCCAAGGCACATGGCACAGTTTTTTAAAGGCACAAGGCACACTTTACATGTTAGTTCAGCCTGGTTCACAGGCTGGTGTGGCTCAGTGGATTGAGTACCAGCCTTGAACCAAAGGGTCACTGGTTCAGTTCCCACTTGGGGCCCATGCCTGGGTTGCAGGCCAGGTCCCAGTAGGGGGCACATGAAAGTGAACCACATGTTGACATTTTTCTCTCCCTCTCTTTCATCATCTCTTCCTCTCTCTCTAAAAATAAATGAAGAAAAATATTTTTATGTAAAAAAAGAAAACTATGCTAAATGTCCTTAATTAGCTTTGGTCAACTCTTTTAGCATGAGGGTCAATTTGGAAACTGAAAATGTTCATGGACTGCTTTTTCTCCTTCATAAGTCAACTTTATTGAGCTTGAATTTACATACATAAAATGTACCCATTTTAGGTGTGCAGTTTATAAACACCTATATGACCAATCCAATCGAGATAAAGAACGCTTACCCAAAAAGAAGTCCCTTTGTGCCCCTCCGCAGTGACTCCCTTCCATGCCCAGCACCCACATAGAATTTAAGCTACAACAAGGATCTGAGCGCACCTTAAATTGTGTTTATGATTCATTTCCTAATTGTTTCTCCTTTCCCTAAACTTATTTTGCTTTTGTTAGCTTAATTGTCCATTCTGTATTCATTAAATGATACTGAGTGTAGATCTTCAATTGTGTTCTGTTTGTAATCTTTACTTGCCCAACTATGACAATTTCAAGCACTTTGATGTCATGGCGCTTGTGTTCACTATACTGGTTAAATAATTAGCAATCAACTATTGATTGGTTGATTAATTGATTTTCTTTGTGTTGATGACAGGTAGTGTGAGTTAAATTTATTATAATGTTTTAATATCTGAGCCCTGGGTTTGGGACTCCCTTTCAGCATACCCAGAAAGAGCTTTATATTATCATCCACTTCCTATTAACTACTACCATGATGTCATGATTTCTATTAAGCACCTAGACAGAGAGAAGTTCCCACGTCCTGTATTACTCCCTCTTTAACACCCACCTTGATATCAAAGCTAGCTGAGATGATGAAGAACTTTCAAATGGTTGTATAAAATAGGAATGACTAGAAAAACACAGCATTTCATGTAAACTTAGAAGGGCATGAGAGAGTAAAAAGCTTTTTTGTTGAGATAGAAGAAATAGTTACCATCCCAGACATGTGCTGCTATTATTCACCCCATTTTTTGTTGTCTCTTAATGTTAGTATTTCTTGCAGCTACTCACAAGTGTTCTGTGAAAATTGGTCTCTTAAAAGGCTTAAAAGGTTGGTGTAGCTCAGGGGATCGAGCACAGGTTTGCAAACCAAAGGATCATGGTTCCATTCCCAGTCAGGGCACATGCCTGAGTTGTAGGCCAGTTCCTAGCAGGAGATGCATGAGAGGCAACCATACATTGATATATCTCTCCCTCTCTCCTTCCCTTCCCCTCTAAAGATAAATAAATAAAATATTTTTAATAAGGCCGAACTAACATGTAAAGTGTAACGTAAATATTTTACGTTTTGTCACTAGATACCACATATTGCGTTAAAAAACTCCCACGGAATCCTCAGAGAGAAGAAATTATAGGAGATGGAGAGCAACAGTACATTTATCTAAAAGATGGAGATGTGGTTAAGACTGAGGGTGCCACTCTAAGGTACGTAAATGACCTGCGGCTGGGGAAGGCTGCAGAGAGTGGGAGGAGGCTGTATATGTTATAAAAGGGAGGAAAGGGAAGATTTCTGCATATTTGCTTGTATAAATGTAGACTGTCTCAGGAAGAAGGATATAAGAAATCTGATAACATTGGTTACTCTGGGAAAAGAAAATGGGTTGCTTGAGAAATAGGGGAAAGAAAGTTCTCCTTGTATCTAACTTTTTTAAATTATTTGTTTAAATTATATGATTGCCATTATTTAATGAATAAAATTTAAGTTAAAAAATAGAGTAGTGCCCTAGCTGGTATGGCTCAGTGGGCTTGAGTACCGGCCTGTGAACCAAAGAATGGCCAGTTCAGTTCCAGGTCTAGGGCACATGCCTGTGTTGTGGGCCAGTCCCCGGGGGGCATGTGCAAGAGACAACCACACATTGACGTCTCCCTCCCTCTCCCTCTCTAAAAATAAATAAATAAAAATTAAAAAATAGATCAGCTTTTCCTGCTAGGAAATGTAGGGCTTTCTCATGTTCTCAATTGCAAGAGATGACCTATGCCTGAAGTAAATATATTTTAGTCCAGACTCATCATCCCCCATGACCTATTTAGGGATTCAAAAAGGTGTCTAACTCAGTAATTTAAAAACTGAACTAACTGTGATTCTCCTCTTCGCCCCCCCCCATGATTTGTCTTGCTTTCTGATTTCAGAACCCCTCCTTCCGTCAGTTCTCAAGATTTTTTTTTTATTCTAAGATGGAAACTGACAACTCCTCACCTTTATCACTTTCCCTCCCTCTGCCTACCACATCCAATGAGGCTCTCTTTACCACAGAGATACTTGTCACTGCTGTCCCTTTTTCTTTATGTCCACTACCACTACATCCTGGTACTATTCCCATCTCCAGGCTCTCCCCTCTCCAGTCTATCTTTTGTATGCTCTGTCACTTGAAACCTTGAATAATTTAGTACAACAAGATAATGATCATTCTCCTTACCACAGCTTGGCCTCAAACCACTTTTCTGGTCTTAGCTGCTACCACTCCCCTCACAAACACAATTAGCCTATCCAAATTCTCCTGAGCACATTCTGTCTGTTCATGCCTTTGCTCATACCCTCCCCTTTACTAGGCCTCACCCCTTCCCCCTTACTTGCCCCCCCCCATACATTATTACCCATTTATTCTTCAAACCTCAGTTCACACGTTACTTCAAGAACCTTTTCTGGGCACATCAACTGCTGCTTTCTCCAACTATTAATTTCATTATTTCATTATAGCACTTAATAAATTATAATTTTTTGGGTGTGTAAGTAGGTAACTCCTTAAAAGATAATCAGTTCCCTAGGCTTATAACATTAGATAATGTCAGGGCTATAGCAAACCACCCCAGAAATGTCTAACAGCTCAAATATGAAGTAACTTTACTTCTCATGCACATGAAGTCCGAAAAAGGTTCCTGGTTAGTGAGTGGCCCTCCTGCAAGTAATGTTTCAGGACCCTTATGGATTCCACTGTCCTCAGTCGATTTCAAGGGGCCGTGCTCACCACAATCAATCCAGCTGGGTGGAGAAAGAGCATGGAACGGATCTCACATGGCGGTTTTCATGGACCAGGCCTGGTGTTGCATCGGCTGTCAGCTCAGTCATGTGCCCTCCTGAGTGTAGGGAGGCTGGGAAATACAGTTTAACTTCTTGCCCAGGAAATAGGAAATAGGTTTGATAAGCTAGCCATTCTCCGACACAGGCAGATGCAGGATTCATCTTCATATCCTCAGTCCCTGTCCCATAGAAGTGAATATTTATCATACATGCAATAAATGTCTACAAAGAGGCAAGTAGATTAACAGGTGAATGAGAGAGGAAGTGAAGCAGTGGGTATCCATGCTCCCTTTTCAAACAGCATCCTCTTTTTTCCATTATGCCAGTGATTCTAAAATTTAATTCATAAACCAACTAATTTTTAAGTGCTTTTGTTCAAAATACGATAGCATCTTGTATAATTTGCTAATGATACCACAGAAAATCAAACATTATGTTATCACTTCTTGGAAAAGTATTCTTGGCAATACTGGATGTTCCCCATCACACACCAGCCCTAGGCCAAGTTACAGAAAGAGGTGGAGGCAGGAGGGAGTTAATGAAGTCTTCTTTCTCAGAGACTTGGGAACCACAGTACTGGTTTATCAGTTATCACAGAAGCATGGATATTAGGTCTAGACCTAATGTGCAGATTAAGGCTATTCAACCCTTAGAAGTTAACCACCCATCTGCCATGAACAGAACACATTAAGCTTTTAAAGTATATAAACAGAGAAGTGTTACCAGGTTGAGAGGAGGTGAATTGTTATGAACTAAACAAACCAGATGAGCAGCCTGCAGATCTAGAAATATCAGTGCCCCAGAGCCACCCACACACTTGCTTCCTGTCACCATCCCACTCCCTCAGTTGAATCCTATCTTGTTTCATGTAGTGAATTGATGCCAAGGATCTCAGGATTATATGAACTCCATTTCATTTTTTGTTTTACTGCATTCTTATGAAGTATGGGAATCTATTTTAAGATTTGAGAGAGAAACTAACAAAGAATCTAAAAAAGACGACACGTTTTAAAAGTGACTTAATAAATAATCTTTCCTCCAGATGTAACTATGCTACAATCTGAATAAAACATTTACTGTTGATGCGGTTTCTAGCTTCCATTATCATCAGTAAAATGAATTTGTTTTAAATATTAACAAGAAGACTTGTTGTTAAGCAAAATTTACTGAAGACCCAAATACTTGATGTCCAGTTGATCTTGTCTACTTGCCAATTTTGAAAAGAAAAAAATACAAGAACCCATTAGTAAAAAACAGAAAGCCAGCAAGGTTTTTCAGTAAGGATCTGGTTGTAACCCTCAGGAATTTTCTAGTGAACTAAATTTAATTTCTCAAAGTTAATCTGACAGCTTTTGTCGACTGTTCTAAACTTCTAAGAGAGCCGTTCTTACAAAGTCCACTGTTCACAGAAGTGGCAGAACTAAATAAATGCTTCACCTGGTGAATGGGAGGCTGCAGCTCACCTGGGTGGCTAACGCTTTAATTTGCTTACAAACTGTGTTCTCAGTCACTTCCTTGGAAAGATGACATCAGCACGTCATTTCCTTTTCTCCTCCCACCTCCAATGTGAAGTGACTGAGAACACAGTTTGTAAGCAAATTAAAGCGTTAGCCACCCAGGTGACTGGAAGATTGAAATTCTGATCCCCTAATTTAAGAAATCTTACTGCTTTCGGCCTAGGTTAGAAAATAGCAAGGAAAACCATTACTGATTCTGGCATAGGGAGTGGGAGGGGAATAATTAAGGGGGCATTGCGAGCACGTTGATGGACAAGACAGTTTGCAGACTGAAAGAATGGTTATCCAAATAAGATTTTGCAGATTAAAAAAAAAGATTGAGGTTCCATTTGTAAACACATTCTATGTGTGACTGTTCATAAGATAAGACAGACACCCACACCACATATTTTTGTAGCTGCTGGAAATACACTTCCTGAAATTATTTTCACATAACATGGAATACTTTCATTAACTGGTTGCAGCAGGTTTAGTCAGACAAAAGAGAGTTTCTAACATCCCTGTAATATCTCACCATTACTAAATATAGTAATCATTTGCAATATGTAAAGCATATACTTAGAAACCATAAAAGTACAATAGTTCCTACAGTCAGTTCTGAATGCCTCAAAAATAATTGCTCCCATTACTCTTAAAACTTATATCTCTTACATTTTTAGTAGAGTCTTTAAAAAGGCTTTACAGTTTGAGTATTTAGCATTGAGTATTTGAATTTTCAGCAAATGAGAAATTCTTCTAAGTTACAGTCATTTCAGTTTTCTTAAATACTGAAATGCATTTTTGTCAAATGTCTTTGCAGTATCTAAGAGATGATCTCACTCATTTTCTCCATAGTTTTATTGTGATTTGCAGGGGTCTCTTGATATTGAAACACCCTGGCATTTTTTGAATAAACTTTATTTGGTCATGATATCATTTTTTTAAATATGCTTTTGGATGCTATTTAGTAATATTTTAGTTAGGATTTTCATAACAATGTTAGTGGGGTCAGGCAGTAGTCTTCTTTTTGTGCAACCTTTTCGTGTAGGGAGATTTGGGGTTTGTAAGTTCTCTTTTTTTTATGCTCTGGGATAGATTAAGTAGTAGTACAATTATCTGACTTAAATGTTTGATAGAGTTATCCAGTGAAAATACTGAGCCTTTCGTTGCTGACATTTATATGCCCTTTTAACAGAGGTTCATTGTTGCTCATTAGTAATATGGTCCTGTAAGTTAAACTCACCTTAAATAACTTCTGCTTATTTCTGTGACTGTCCCACTTCCCGACAATCTCATCCGATGATTTTAGCATCTGTGAATGACACTTGCCTTAATCAATTGATATCTTGAAGATGGCATAATTGTGACTTTTATTATTCTATTTCTTCTACTTTCTTTCTTTTTTTTCTTTACTTTCATTCTTCTTTATGTTCTTTACATTCTTCTTAAAGAAGAGATTCCCCCCCTTCCTCTTTTTTGAGAATTACTATAGACTTACATTATTTTATTCAGTACTTCTTTGTCCTTTTGACATACTCCCCCTAATCTATCAGCACCTTCTTGCTGTCTAACACAGGATGTCTCAGTACCACGATTTACGCCCCAGCCCCCCAGCACATCTGTAAGAAACCTGGATTTCTTTGAGTGGGAAATGGTATCAGAAACAAAGAACTGAGTGTGAGGTGTGTTCACTACTACTGGAGTATCATCACTTCTGGGGCTTTTTATAGACAGAGCTAGAAGAAAACGTGATTTCATGATTCTTCAGTTCAAATAAGAAACAACCCAATATTTAAATCCCTGATTCTATATATGTATTTTTTCCTTATCCCACAATGAAAAACTTGGTTCTTCACATCAATTTATTTGTTCAAACTAGCCTACAGTAAACACAAAATAGTTTCGGAAACACACTCATAACACTGTCAACATGAAACCTATTAAGTAAAGTTCAAGTTATCTTTGCAATTCTTTTGATCTTAAGATATATTCTATTAAGAATGTACAGTCTTAGTATTATATTTAAAACATTTTAATTTATTTTTTTACTGTGGTTATTTTATCTATCTAGTATATGGTAAGATTTACTTCTTTCTGTATTCAATGTTAAGGGTTTTTTTATTTCTATCTAATTTTATGTTTAGAATATATAAAATATTTGCATAGCTTAAAAGTCAAAACTGCTAAAAAAGTTCTAACGAGAGAAGTCTTACTTGTACTTCTGTACCCTACACCGCACTTGCCTATCCCATATAGACAACTGTATTTATTAGTTTTTCATTTATCCTTCCTGACTTTCTTTTTTTCTTTTTTTTTTTTGCAAAAATAAGAAAATACATGTATGTTTTACTTTTCCCATCTTTTATATATGGAAGAGCACACTAGGTATACTCTCTGTTGTTTTGTTTTTTACCACTTGACAGTATATCCTACAAATTACTCTATATATCAATTCATAGAGATCTTTCTCATATTTTTTGGTGGTTGTATAGTGTTGCCCTGGGTGGATATACCATCATTTACCCAGAGTACCCAATGAGTTAGCATTGGGGTGCTGCTAATGTTTTGTTATTGCAAATAATGTATTCAATAACTTATATGCATTTTTGTATATGTGAAGGTATATTTGGGACTAAATTTCTAGCAGTGGGATTGATGGTCAAAGGGTGCTCTTTTGCTACAAAATGTCAGATTCCTCTTTATATGAGTTACACCTTTCAGCTTCCTCACCAGAAAAATATAAAAGTGCTTTTTTCATATAGTTTTGCCATAAAGCATATTATCAAAAGTACTTCCTAATGTGCAAAGAAAATTGAAAAAAATGTGTGTTCCTAAAAAATAAAAGCACTATTTCTAAGTAGTGGAAAGATTGGTGATTTGTATCTACCTTAAGTACTTTCCTGTTTTCCAGATTTGTTGTAATCATGATTTACTACTTATAAAATAAGAAAAATGAGAATTGTGTTAAATTTGCACTAAAGAATGAAAAATTTGATTTTGTTAAAGGAGAGAAATTTCTGGTGGTAATTTTCAGTGGACAAGAGGAAAAGGAGCTTTTTAACTCAGTGACATTATTTATTTGTGTCTTGTCCAGAGGGTAAGGATGGGGAATAATCTGCTTTTCAAGATTTCTCCTAAGCTTAAAAGTTCTTAATTGTTTTTACTTCTTCTTTTGCCCAGAGTTATATACACACCTGGCCACTCTGATGATCATATGGCTCTGCTTTTAGAGGAAGAAAATGCTCTCTTTTCTGGAGATTGTATCCTAGGGCAAGGAACAGTTATATTTGAAGACCTCTCTGATTATATGAACTCTCTAAAAAAGTTATTGACAATCAAAGCTGATATTATATATCCAGGTGAGTACTATTTTAAATCTGATAAACCATTTCTATCAAATGAGGAAGGTTCATTTGGTTTGTATGTGCGCGTGTTGTGTGTTTTTGGCCTTAAAGAGAAACATGTAAACTACTTCTTTAAATTACACCCCTAAATCCTGTCTAGCCATGCAATTTTTTAAAAGGCCAGCAGTTACATTATTAATATTTAATGTCATATATTCATAAAAGGATTCTTTTTCAACATCTAAACAGCTATTAATAGGACTATTAAAGAACAAGTGAAATAACTTACATTGAAACAAAATTTTTTCATTCCATAAGCAGTTTTCAGTCTTGTTAACTTGGTTTCTGTTGCGAACCATACACTAGCCATGTAACCAAGGGTAACATTGGTTTAGACTTCTGAGCTTTAGTTGTTTTAACTCACAATATTGAGATATCAGTAGCTTCCATATGAACTGTAAAATCCTGTATTTATTTTGATTCTCTAGAAAAAGAAACCTGTTGTTAGTATCTCAGCTATCACTGTGCTGCTCTGCAATAAGAATCGCCCCACCATCCTGAAAGCTAAGAAACATACTGGACACAACAATAGGGCCCAGAAGGGAAAAGAGACTAGGTTACTAATTTTTGAAGTCCTTCTAACTCGTTCCTAACCAAACAGTTATGGAAAGATCCATAAATACAGTATCTTTAATACCCTTATTTTCTTTCATGAGTTCTACTTCTGTGGGGGGTAGGAAACATACCCTAGGCATTTGGATTAATATTGTGACATAAAAGGAATGGAAACTGACAGCTCTTTTTAAAGCAAAGAAAATAAATGTTTGGTGCACTCGCATTCAAGCAAAGCTAATGAGAGGCTGCCTACTAAAGGGTCTTAGCTTTCAAGCTAGAGTGTTAGCTTTAGTGAATTCCATGAACTAGCTTATTAGCACAGCAGGAGCTTCTATGTAAATTATATTCTGTATCCATAGCTACCATATATTAAAGCCTGCTACTCATCAGGCACCTGCAGGGACCTTTACAGCTAGCTAGCTGTGTCCTCACAAAAAGCCAATGAAGTAGGGAGTAGATCCTCATTGCACAGCAGCAGAAACAGCTCAAGACACTGTCATGACCACACAGTTAGGAAATGATGGTCAGTACTCTAACCAAAGCCCACGCTTGTTACATGATAATAGCTTAGCGTGCTTCTGGATACTTGGTCCTCAACTATTTTAAACATGCCTCTGGAAAATTTGTGTAATATTAATTTGCACTATGTTAAAGAGATGTAAATTTCAATATAACTTTATCTGGATTGTCAACATTTCTGAGTTGCAGCTCTCTACATAACATTTTTTAAGTTCTGTTGTGGTTCCTGTGAATTTTTAATAGGTCTTGATCACTTACATGAAGTTACTTTTACATTCCCCTTTTCAATCATTTGTAAGTAAGTGTAGTACAGTGGTAAGAGCCTAGAGTCGTAAAAAGCTCCTGAGTCAGAATCCCAGCTTCACTCTTGAGCTATGATACTGTGGGCAGGTCATTTACCCTCCTTACTCCTCAGTTTCTGCTGTTAAAAAGGGGTAATAGTAGTGCCAACCTCTTGGGATTCTTACAAAGATAATGTATAGCATTTGGAGCAGTGCCTGGCAAATAATAAGTGCTCTGTAACTATTACCTATCATTACTGTTCTGATTCCTGCTGTTATTGCTATATTTTTATTTTATACTTTTTAATGTACATAATAATATTTTGTATAGATTTTGATATAATTGTCTAATGTTTTGTGTCATATCTGTATAGTTTCCCAAATTATTCTTATTTGTTATGTATTTAGTATTCTGTTTCAATATATCATATGGATTGTTTTTAGAGTGAATTAACTTCAATTATACTTAATATTTTTCTCTGGTTGAAATAATTTTTATAATTGTTCTAATTCAGGACATGGCCCAGTAATCCATGATGCTGAAGCTAAAATTCAAGAATACATTTCTCACAGAAATATTCGAGAAAAGCAAATTCTTACAGTATTACGTGATAATTTTGAAAAATCATTTACAGTAATGGAGCTTATAAAAATTATGTACAAGGTAATTTTTGTTTAGCTTATTTGTACATAGGCACAGTTTTATTAGAATAATCTGTTTACTAAGCTATAGATACAATAAACTTACCATCTCCCAGAAAACTATTAATTTTATAAATAATGTCACTTGTATAGATTTGAAACCAGCAACCTCAACTTTCTAGAACACAGAAGTTAAACAATATCTGGCCTAGAAAACAAAAATAACCATTCTGAGCCATCATGAAACCATATACTTCATTCTGTAGGAGAGACTGTTCCCAACTACATGGTGATCAAGATTTGTAATAACTCACGTATTATTCAAGCTATCTTGACTGTCTGGTGTCCTAGCCTGTGGCAAGCAAGAAGAATCAATCTGCTAGATACGTGGATAATAGCAGTGAGGAATAGTAGCAATGCCTAACTAATGGAGAAAAAAACATGGAAAAGAACATGAGTAGAGAAATTTAGTGTATAGGGAGAACCCCTCACCTCAGCAGCCTCTAAGCACATCATTATATGACAGCCCTATTATATAGCGGTCAATTAGTATAATTCAGTTTTTCAGTGAATGTTTACTGGATAACTGCTGTATAGGTAGTATATAGCTTAGAGGTTAAGAATGTAGGCTTTGGCATTAGATTAAATAGGTTTAAAAACTCCCACTACCACAACCTCTACAGCCAGAAGAAACGTGAAAGTGTAACTAAAGAGCTTGAAAAGGTAACTGGGGCCAATTACAATTAGTAAGGGACCTTAGTATCCTATAGGTCCAAGTATCAAAAGACAGTCAGATCATACTCAGTATGTTCTGTCTTAAAAGGGAAAGATGATTTTTTTAAAAAGGGAGGGGTAGATGAAGGGTTAAGATGATTAAAAGATAAAAGTTCCATTAGCAAAAGGGTAAAGTAAATTTTGTGAGAGAGTTCATTTCCTCATAATACTGGAATCACTATAGACTGTTCATTGGTACATTGTTTTTTTTTTAATCTATTCCAAGTACAGGAAATGAACCAGGATAGGCAGGCACGATCAGGTCAAGGGAAGCCTTGATTGCCAAGCTAACAAATTTGAGCGTTAGCCAATAACCTGGGAATGACCCATCGCTCAAAGATCTTAGGCAAGGGATCAAGTAATGCAATCTAGAATACCACAGTGGTGGAGACAGTATACGGTACTGGAGCTTAAGGGCGAGTTTAGGGTCAGAGATTCATATTTGGGAATCGTTAGTGCATGATATTGCTGTGGCAAGCTGGTTGAGTAAAAAGAGAAAAGAGTCAGTGACACAACACATTGTAAACGTCAGTGTTTAAGAGAACTCCAAGGAAGAGTATCCAGGGTGAAAACTAAATGATAAAAGAGGTAGAATATCCAAGAAAAATGTGAAAAGTTATTATCATGTAGCCTAATAAATAAACCATAGGGCCAATGTCTGTAGCATCATAAAGCTATCTAGAATAATTTTTACATATATTTATTTATCCATTCATAAAATATTGAGTTCCTACTGTGTGGCATTATGCTAAGTACTGGATGTTCAGTAGTCAACAAAACATACCGTTACTGTCTTTACAGGGCTTACCCTGTATTTTATCCATAGGAAAATAAATAAGAGCATAGTGCCTAAATCAAAACATACACAAGCTGAAATTGTTTTGGCTATTACTATATAAAAATGAATTTAAGTTAAAATCATTGTCTTTGTAGCACTTTTTTAAAGTTTCAAAGGATTAACTCTGTCCTTTTTTCTAAAAAAAAGAAATACCTTCTTTTACTTTCTTTTTTTAGAATATTCCTGAGTCTTTATATAAAATGGCTGAACGTAACCTCTTGTGTCATTTGAAAAAATTAGAAAAAGAAGGAATGATATGTAAGTATACTTACAAATTTTAATTCTTTTATTGCCAGCATTTATTTTTTTTAACATATGCACTAGTTTTCTTTAGGAAAAATAACACCCATCAGAGTCTTTCGTTGATTATCACTGGAGAGATGGCACTAGGAAGGGTCAGTAGTGAGAGGCCAATGGACCACACGTGGGAACCAAACACTCCCACAGGAACTGGAATCTTGCTTAGTGGTTCCCATCCTTACCCACCAGAATGGCAGTCCAAGGCATGTAGTGGAAAATAGCTTCTCTTCTCCCAGACCGCAAGACCACAAGGAATTTTAAATGCAGAAGATTTGGAAACAGCTAAAGGTTTTAGCAACACTACATATAGTAAACTCAAAATTATTAAAGCAGTAATTCTACAATTGTTTACTAGTGTTAGGTTAATTTGTCAAATTAAGAATCTTTATGGAAGCTTAATCCTTAAAACCAACGGTTCAAGGCTTGATTGTAGAAGCTTCAGCAATGTTTTTAAAATTACAAACACAATTCTAGCTTTATATTGAGCAACAAAACTATTTTAGCAATAAATGCTTTTTCTAGCCAGAAGATAAAAATCCAGTGAATTTGCTTATCCACTGTTAAATTTTGGCTCTTAATTTTCTTTCCACAGTTAGCAACACAGATCCTGAGAAGAAATGGAGAGCTCATCTTTAGTTTCAGATTAATGGAAGTTTTGTTGTTTGGTTTTGCTTTGTTATTAGAGAATAGTATGTTCTCTTACCTATTACTTACAGAGAATATAAGTATATAACATTGAAAATAACCCTTGATATACTTTAAAATAATGCCATCTTTTTTCTCAAATATGTAATTTACATTTTACATCTATAATGTAGAATATTTTATCTAACCTAGCTCTTACAACATTTTACCAAAAATTCAGAATCCATCCATTTATCCACCTCCAGTCAATTAAGTAAAATGATTAGTTTAAAAATAATAAAATTTACATAATTTAAACTGGATATTATTCTTTGAGATTGGCTCTCTATTACCAGTGGCCAAAATACTGTTTTCTCTGGCTGCTTCAGTAACAGCACAGATTTCTACGTTATCCTTCTTTTCTGCAACCCTATTCTGTATCTACAGATAATGGCTTTGTTTTTGGGTTTGTATTAATTATAACATGATTATGTATTAGTTCTGTAGCTCTTTATTTTCTTACAGTGGTATTCTACAAATGATTCATGCACATCAACTTTTGATAATTACAAAATATTATACTCCCAGTTAAAGTCTTTATATAATAATTATTTCTGTCATCTGTGGTACAAACAACTTACTTTCCAAGTTTAGGTTTTAGTATAAAAATAGTCATCAGCATATATATGAATTATATACCAGATTTTTTTGAATTAGAGTATTATAAGTCAGGGCATTTTCTATGTCTCTTCTTTCATATTGGAAGAGAAGTAATAATAGAAAGCTACCAAACATTGATAATTGAAGGTGTCTAGGCAACTGAGCTTAACGAAAACAATGGTATTCGTTAAGTTATCCACTTTGTGCTGGGTGCGGGGTCAGGTGCTGGAGATACACAGGGGAACAAAACAGCATCTCTGCTCTCAAAAGAAGTTCATATTCTAGTTTTGGAGATGCATATCCAATATGCAGTGCCACTAAATTTGTTTGGAGTAAAGGAAGAGTATCTAACTTGGTCGGGTTGTAGAAAGCCGCTTAGAGAAGCCTGAACTCAGTCTTAAAAGATGAGTAAGTGGTAGCCAGGTGAAGAAGTTAGGGATGTTTGGGAGATGAGAAGAATTGTTCCAGTTGGAACAGTATATGCACATAAACAAAGCCATGGCAGAGCATCACGTGGTTAAGAAGCAATATGGCTAACCTATATAGTGCCTGTGGGTTGAGGTCCTAGAGAAGAAGCTCATGGGAACACAGAAATCTCACAGGAACCAATATGCTGACACCCACCCGTGCTTCACACAGGCTGGAGTACACACATAATTTAGGAATCATTTTGTTGCTGCCTCAACGGCAAGAGTTTGTCCCCAACCATCATGGTGATTGTATTCCTCTTTTTACTTCTATTTTTTTATTATTTCATTTTTCCATTACCATTTAGTCCCCTTATGCCCCTGACCCCCGAAATCACCAAACCGTCATCCATGTCCATGGATTCTTCTTATTTTTGTTTCTATCACTATAGCCATTACTTTGTCCTCCATTCAGTATACCCAGTAAGTTTGAGTTACTCATAAGCTTCTGCTGGCCGAATTACTATATACTCAACAGTTTCTATATTCGTGGCATCATCTCTGCCTTCTCTGTATATATCTTCAGCTTCTGTTTTGCAACAACTTAGTAGTCTTCTATGTGTCTTAGATTCTAATGTCCTCATTGGAGAGGACCTGGTTGGTGTAATTAATCACTTGGGACCAGAAGTGTCACAGGAAACTATCAGGAGGATTCCCCATTCAGAAGCAGTGGGCAGGATAAGCAGTTTGACATTTGCCTTTTCAGTGCAGTGAGGGAAGGAAAAGAGAAAAAGCAAAGGAGGATCTCAAAGGTAGAAGATGGGGTAGCATATAAGAGAAATATTTTAGGAAAAAAATAGCACTTAGAAACTGACAAGATCTTGAGAGGTGGGAATGAGGTAGAAAGGGAGAAGTCTAGCAGAACAATGTTTCTGGCTTACACAGTTGAGTAGATGTTGACCTTGTCACCAGGATGAGAGAATACAGGAAATGGAGTGAGTAGAGTTAGGAAAAGGGGAAAGAAACATTGTACTATATATAGATAGGAATCTGGAGTACCAAGGAACATCCAAAGGGAGATACCTACTAGGCACTTAGATATATGGAGCTGGAGCTAAATAATAGGATATATTTTGTTGCAGGTGACAGAAGCTTAGTTTTAACTAGCTTAAGCTAAAGGGAATGTTGGTTGCACCCAATCTGAGAAGGATGAAGGTAGAGCCAGGCTTGAACAGAAACAGGGATTTGAGTTTCCATCAATACAACCCCAGAACTCTCAACTCAGTGTTTTGAAGTGGAGACTCCCAAACACCATGGCTTCTTCTCACAGCAGGGGACATGGCTATGGGCAGCTCTGGGCACATATCCTACCCAGTCTATAACCAGCAGGGAAAGCTGGGTCTTCCAGCTTCAGTTTAGAAAATCTGGGGGAAGGACTCAGTGATTTGTATTAACTTGTTTGCATTCCTTAGGTCAGTCCCCATGGTCAAGAAAACCTGAGGTACTATATTTGGCCCAGCTTTTGGTCTTATGCCTATCCCTGTGGTCAGAGTGGGTGAGATCTGTTCTCAGATGCAGCAGAATATCACAGGAAGATTCTCAACTAATACTAATTTTTAATACTAATACTAATTTGCTTTCTTTCCAATGTATATAAAATATGAGAGGGGACCCCCAAAAATGATATTATCTTCTAGAGGGGAGGGTCCTTGTAGCACAGACTTCCCCAAGTAGGTGAGTGTTCTAGGAACCCATCTGTATCAGTGTACCAGCTGGCATCATTGCGAGAGGATGCACTGGGCTTCGGTGGCTTTTTTTGGAGGACTTTCAAAGCGTTTGCCCATTTCATGATGGGTAGTTTATGAGCATAGCTGCTGACACCCATGCTGAGTGTTTAGCAGTTTTTGACAATAAATGACTCCCATCCTCTACCCTCCCTATTCACCTGATCTTGCCCCAAGCGACTTTTTTTGTTTGTTTCCCCAATGAAAAAGTCCTTAAAGGGAAACTGCCAACCTGGAAGAAGTGAAACAAAAAGCTGCAGAAGCACTGATGGTGGTCCAAAAAACTGCTCCAGCTGAGCAACTGAAACAACTATCAGTGAATAGAAAATTATTCTAATAAAAAAATGAGGCAGTTATTAATTCAAAAAACAAATTTCTTCAATGAAGGAAATAATTATTAACTGCCATCTCTCTCTGCATTTTTACATTGGCAATAATGTCAACACTGAGTACAATTTGTGCTATAACAAGAAAGGAGGTGGGGGGTTGAGAATGCTAAATCATCACCTATGATAGGCAAAGTCAATAAAGTCTAAACTTGACCAATGAATAAAAGTATAAGCATCTTAGTAGTTAATCCCAGGAAAAAATATATCTTAAAAAGAGAGACAAAGGTGAAATGTTTTTTCCTGTTGGTAGTAGTTAATTTTTTAAATTAGGTATGCTTTATTAGTTTGATATAAATGAAACATTTTAATGTCAAAAATACTGATATTATGAAGACTTCCAGTCAAGATAGAGGCATAGGTAAATACTTCACCTGCATACACAACGACAGCAAAAACTACACCTAGACTACAAAACAAATATTACCCAGAACCATTAGAAAATTGAGCTGTATGGAAGTCCAATGACCAAGGATTTTAAAAAGCCACATTCATCCAGATGTGTAGGAGGGGCAGAGACGTGGAGAGGTGCTGGAATGAGTGACCCCACATTCACAAGTGGTGGATAAAAATTGGGAGGGATACCCCAGGAATGAGCAATCCCAGCTCCAGAACAGACAACCCAGCCCAGGGTTCCAGCACCAAGAAGATAAGTTCCCATAACTTCTTGCTGTAAAAACCAGTGGGGGTTGAGGTGGTGGAAGAAACTGCACAATTCTCAAAAGACTCTGTAAAGGGCCCTCAATGGCCCTAGGACTCACGCATACCCACCACCCCTGGGATTTAGCACCAAAGCCACAGCTGGAAGGGCGTAAGTGGCATACAGGGAGAAGAGGAGAAAGTGCAGTGTGAGTGCTGGGAGACAGCGGCCCCCCGGGCAGTCTCCAGAAGCCAGGCAGTGGCATTGTCCCCTCTCTGAGCCCTCCCCACACAGAGCCACAAAGGGTGAAAGGGATTGCCTCACCTGGGTGATTACCTAAGGTCCAGCCCAATACAATGTACAGGTGCCTTTTCTATAATAGGCCATGCAACTGCCTAATCAAAGCAGCTACCTAGTACACAGAAACAAACACAGGGAGGCTGCCAAATTGAGGAGACAGAAATATGGCCCAAATGAAAGAACAGAACAAAACTCCAGGAAAAGAACCAAATGAAATGCAGATACGCAAGCTATCAGATGCAGAGTTCAAAACACTGGTTATCAGGATGATCAAAGAAACCATTGGATACTACAACAGCATAAAAGGCAGAAATGGAGGTTTTCATTAAGTCAAAGAAAAATCTACAGGAACCAATAATGGAGTGGATTAAGCTAAGACTCAAATCAATGATTTTGAACACAAGGAAGGAAAAAGCATTCAATCAGAACAGCAGGAAGAAAAAGAGTTCAAAAAATGAGGAGAGGCTTAGGAGCCTCTGGGACTACTTTAAACATCGTCCAAATCATAGAGGTGCCAGAAGAGGAAGAAGAAGAACAAGAAATTTTAAAACTTGAAAAAATAATGAAAGAAAACTTCCCTAATTTGACAAAGGAAATAGACAATACAAGTCCAGGAAGCACAGAGAGTCCTAAACAAGTTGGACCCAAAGAGGACCACACCAAGACACATCATAATTAAAATGCCAAAGGTTAAAGATAAAGAGAGAATTTTACAAGCAGTAAGAGAAAAGCATACAGTCACCTACAAAAGAGTTCCCATAAGACTGTCAGTGGATTTCTCAAAAGAAACTTTGCAGGCAAGAATGGACTAACAAATATTCAAAGTGATGAAAAGCAAGGACCTACAATCTAGATTATTATATCCAGCAAAGCTGTCATTTAGAATGGAAGGGCTGATAAAGTGCTTTCCAGACAAGCTAAAACTGAAGGAGTCCATCGTTACTAAGCCATTATTATATGAAATGTTAAAGGGAACTGTATAAGAAAAAAGATCAAAACTATGAACACTAAAATGGCAACAAATTCACAACTATCAACAACTACACCTAAAAAACAAACTAAGCAAGCAGAACAGAAACAGTCATAGATATGGAGATCATTTGGAGGGTTATCACCTGGGAGGGGGAAAGAGGAGGCTGGGGGAAAGGTGCAGAGATTAAGAAGTACAAATTGGTAGGTGCAAAATAGACAGGGCAATGTTAAGAACAGTATAGGAGCCCTGGCTGGTGTGGCTCAGTGGACAGGCTCAGAGCACCAGCCTGTGCACTGGAAGGTTACCAGTTCAATTCGTACTCTGGGCACATTCCTGGGTTGCCAGCCAGGTCCTCAGTTGCAGGTGGGAGAGAAACAGCCTATCACTGTTTCTCTCACACATCATGTTTCTCTTCCTCTTTCTCCTTCCTTCCCCCTCTCTCTAAAAAAAATAATAATAATTTTAAAAAAAAAAAGAACAGTACAGGAAATGGAGTAGCCAAAGAACTTGTATGTATGACCCACGGACATGAACTCAGGGAGGAGATTGCTGGAGAGAATGGGGGTACCAGGTGCAGTAGGGCAAAGGGGGAAAACTTGGGACAAATGTCATAGCATAATCAATAAAACATACTTAAAAACAAAGAATGCAAAAAATACTGGTGTTACACACTGAGTATGTTTCAACTCCTTAGTCCAATGGAGCAAGCACTTTTGTACTACAATTTTCTCCTGAAAAATTATCAAGAACTGGGAACGAGAGGTACAGTTTATTTAATGTTCTCTTAGGCTTAAGGATAAGAATCTTTAAGTTTATATTCCTCGGCGGTTACAATTTTCAAGCATAAAATGTTCCCTGAGCATAAATATTCTGACCTATTATCTAGACCGAAGGGCCTGGAGAATTAGGTGAACTGGAGACTTAAAGTTTCACTGTAGTGGGAAAACCATCTAAAGAGAACTAAACCCAAGTGTCCTGCATCCAGCAAGTAGCTCTATAGTAGATCCCAACTTGGTTTTTTAGGCACAATATGGTAGGTTATTAAAGATCTATCAGAGGTTATCTCTCTTGTTGAGACCTAAACTGAATTTAGGATTCAGTAACTAACCAGTGTAAAGAGCAGAGAGAGGACTCAGCTTCTTTCAGAGTGCTCGGCCAACACCACTTTTTCTCTCTGGTTGGTCAAGTTACGCACTACAAATTCTGCAGGAAAGCTAACATGCATGACAGATCCCCTCACTTATTTCTACTGAGGTTTTTAAGAACTTTAGGGTGGTTAATGACCACAAAGAACTGAAGAATACACCTCTGAAGAAAAGAAATTTTTTCTTGATATACTTAAATTGAAGACCAATCTAAAAAAAAAAAACATGTTGCTATAAATCAGAGGTTTCCAATATAAGTTAGGTTGCAGCAATTCAGGGTTCAAGTAGATGACCCTATTTTGTGCATGATTATATTAATACTGTAGTATATTCGATACTTAATGTGTTATGAGTAAAAAGCATCTCTACTGAAAGACTGACAGTTAATTAGTCGTCCCATGTTTTTTTACCATTATTCTGTAAGATTTTCATCCACTGAGTATCAATTTCTTACTTTTAAGGTGAGAGTATTCTCTCGGCATATAAATGCAACCTACACTGTTGATATTTTCCCAAGAGCTGAAGAAAGTTTTTAACTAGAAGGAGCTCTCTGGTTTTATACCACAGAATTGTTCCCAGCCTACTCGTGGAACTAGATTAATCCTGTTTCAGTCCCATGCTTTAATTTTTAAAAAAATTAAAAAATGCATATCACAAATGACACATCTCAAGATTTTATATCTAAACCTGAAACTTTAAGAAATATTGTTAACCATTCACTCCTTCAGAGCAAAAATGTGGTCTTGGACCACTTTTATCATTCTCAACTGGAGTGCTTATTACAAACGCAAATTTCTGGTACCTACCCAGATTTACTGAATCCAAATTTCTGAAGAGGACTAAGGAATGTAATTTTTCCATTGGTTCCTTTCCCACATCAATTATAATTTAGCATTGTGTTGTTAGTTTTTATTGTATCAAAGGTCAGCGTGAGATACACACATATAAAATCTCTGGGTTTCTTGAATGCTACTGAGAACAGTTGTGTTTTATTATTCAGTGTTCTCCAGTGTCCATGGAACAAAATCTCAGATTTCAGACCTAGAAAAATACTTTTTTTTTTGGTCCTATAAACTGGTATGTTTCCTCTGTTGGACTAGTGCTTGTCAAATTTGACTAATTCTCAGAATCATCTGGGGAACTTTTAAAACATACACAGCTTCCCAGACCCCAAGCAAGGCCCATTCATCAGAATCTCCAGGTTAGGGAGGGTCCCTGTGAGAGTGATAATTAATCGTGTTTCAAAAGCCCTACGTGGGGACAATATCTAGTTAATCACCATGTTCACTTTTTGCTTTGGCATCCTGGAAGCTAGTCTTAAAACATCTTTTCTTGGAATTCGGTTATTTGATATAATTATTCTCCTTTTCTTTCCTCCATTGTATTACTTGTCTCATTTAGTATGTCTTTAATGAATTTCAACTTTAGCGGAAATAACTTACAGTAATACTTCCTTTGAAAAGGACTCATGGACATGGGTATAAGTGGAGTAAATGGTAATGGGGAAAATACAATAAAAATTAAATCAAAAGAACAAAAGTACTATCCTTTGGACTATCATATTTCTTGCAATAGCATTTAAGCCTAAAATAAATCAGTTATTAGTATTACAGAGTAAAAGAATATTGTGAACCTGAAAGTTTCATCATTCTGATTTTATGGAGGCTTCATGAGAAATTACTGTTTGAAAAGAACTCTGAAAATCATTGCTATTAAATGGCATATACACACTGATTTTTTTTTTTTTGCAGTTCGTATACATGATGATTGGGTGTTCACAGTATCATGAGAGATGTGCCTCTCCCAAACCTTATTTACTACATCAGCACATACCCATGTGATGTGAAGTAGATAATAAACACCATGTACATATTTAAGCTTTTGGTACCCCTTTAGTCCTTTCACTATGGGCACCCCAAATACTGAATACGTTCTTCTTATGTGCCACCTCAGAGATCTAATCCATGTTAGTGGTGTTAACCATTACCACCATGCTGAATAATTTCCAGATATGTGCTTGAGCTTGACTCATTCACCACAACCCAGGCCTATATCTTTTGCACTCTGCAGGAACTTTTCAATTGGCTATCTCCCAAAGTCCAGACATCAGTGTGAAGAAAGTCATCATATCTAAAAACAAGCTTTTCTGCGTATTTCACCATTTTATATTCCTAGTTACCACCCTTGCAATCTCACCATTTGGATGAACAGCATCACCATTCTCCATATCCCAAGCTGTATTAGCCCTTGGTCACTCCTATTTCTCTAAACCTTACTCCACTTAGCACAGCAATATTTGTGCTATAGTTTGAGGATGCAGATTCAATCTGAAGACCAATAAAATGCTGGTGCTCCAAAGGAGTGATAAATTGCCAAGGAAGTGTGAGTGGCTTGCTTCACAGGGAAAAAGGCTATCATTTGTCTTAGTTTCAAGGATTTATCCCTTTCTTGTTCCCTGGCCTAGTCTTCATTTCCCAAATTAAACTAATAATTGATTTTCTTGCACATGGCCTATTCCTGTTTCAATCCATCATGGTGGTGGTGGTAACAGTTTAGTAATAGTATTCATCTGTAGAAAAGAAATGACAATAATTCAATTAGTTGTTATTGAGATAGGATAGTAAGCAAGGAAAATTCCTTAGCAAGTGGAACAGGGAAACTGAAGCAGACAGCTGAATACAATGGCTGAGCAATTTATAGCCATGTGTGGATGGTCACCAGGGCAGAAGGCCCCCTGAGTGCCTGGCAGGGGGCAAAACTGAGAAAATAAGGAACCAACCCTAAGGGTAACCCTTCTCCTAGCCTTTTCTCCCTGGAAACCACATCTAGGAGATAACATACATCTAGGCCTCCGTTATGTTTCAGCTGCAGGCCTAGAGAAGCAGCCAAACCAGGTGGGCGATGCCAGGATCTCCTACAATTACTAAAGACCCTCTGCTCTGCTGCTAACCAATCAGTGGAGACCATGACCCTGAAAGGGTAAACCTAGAGAACCGATGAATGTTCTACTGAACCCTCCTCTGAGATCTTGCCTAAGATTCTCACTGCAAGAGAGAGATAAAAGCCTCCGCACAAAGAACCCTAGCTCCCCCTCTGGGAAGCAGCCTGAGTCATACCCTTTTTCACCACCGTCCCCCACTCTGCCCCACTTCTTTCCTCATGGGCACCAGTCTCCCAGACTGTAAGGCGATGGGCAGCTGGCTACTTGTCCCAGGCTTGGGTAAACAGAGGCAGTCTGGCTTCCTCAACCAGATGCCTGGGCAACTAAGGAAAGCAGTTTCCCGTAACCTTGAGAATGGGTCTGATAAGTAATGTTCTTGTAGCCTTGCAATTGGATCCAGTAAATGGTTCCCATAGCCTCAAGTAGGCTCGCATGGGTAGAATGAAGCTCTATTGTATAATCTGTTGGCTCCTTGCCAACTCTGTAACTCTGTATTTAGTATATTAAAGGGTTAGGGATTTCCCTCTGAGAGAAAGGGGCCAGGTAACTTGAAGTGTGACATGCAGAGACACATGGGGACACAAGGGACACACAGTTTGCAGCATGCATGGATCCCCCAGCCTTGAGTAAAGGCATGTCAGGCATCCCCACGGCTCCATGAGTATACTTTCGTCTTCCCAAATCCAATGAACTTGTTAGGCCTGACCTGTCACAACACACAGGCTAATCCCTGAACCTGTCCCCAAGGCTCCCTCCTCTCTGACTTCCCAGTGAGCTCAGGCAGCCCAACCCAGGCTCTCCTGTTTGCTCCTTCTATGCTAAGCCCTTTCTTGTTTCACTGTCCCCAGCTTTAATAAATGTATCCTCACAGTCACCTGGACTCCTTGTGAAATCTCTCCTATGCAAAGTCAAGAACCTACACACTACCAGCTGGCCCTGGGCAGACCCACTCAGGGCCAGGTCCCTGACCAGTAACATAGTGAATATTAAATATTCAGGGTGTCTAGTATGATTTCTGGTACCAGTTTAATACTAGTTGCTATTATTTTCTCATTGTCGTTAACAGAGTATATTTACATATTTCCCTGGGACTATTTCACTTTGACTTACACCATTAAACTCCACAAAATAAGATATTTATTCTTTAGTAAAATCTTACCATAAGTATATAAGATAAAATTCACATACTTCACCTTGGGAGTTAAAATGTAATTGTTGTAAATTCCTAAACAAGTTATTTTAGAGAGACTCTGTTTCCTTACTTGAAATAAGGATAACATTATGTTTTATCCTCATTTTATTACAAGGGTAAAATTAATAATATGTATCAACAGTGTTCAGAGGACTGCAAAGAATTGTCTACATTTCACTTGTTTGCATTTGTGCTGTATGCTTTGTCTTGGGCTGATACAATCAAGAAAACAGCTCCAAAGCTCCCTGGCCACCACCTCAACATCTTGGTTCTCCTAGGCACTGAGTCATATACCATTTTTCTGATGGCTACGAGATAATCAGCTCAGTTCAACCAGTCACAAATTCCCTAAGGCATAAGACCTTCTAAACATAGAAGCAGTTTACGAAAGCATTTTTCACAGAAGATGCAAAGAGAAAATGACTCATTTCCTTCAGGTGAAAGTGATGTGCTGGGTGGCCTTCCTGGCAGATGTAAGTCCCCAGCTGCCTTTTGAAATATCCACAAATATGCTGCTCTCTCTGGCATGTGCCAGCAACCCCAGGAACCGCTGACCAATCACCATTTTAGGACCCTCTTGAAAACACAACAGATTCAAACTAAGACCCCCCCATCTGTGTATGTTGAGATTATTTCAGATATTCACCCTACCATACATCACAGTCCTTGACCATTGCCTCAGATACAAGTCACTCCACCCATCAGTTATTCTCATTCGTGTTCATACTACTATTGATTTTTTTGCCCTGATTCAACCAGCTCTTTCTTTTTATATATATTTTTTATATTTTATTGATTATGCCATTACAGTTGTTCTATTTCCCCCTTCATTCCCCTCCACCCTGCACACTCCTTCCCCCACCATTCCCCCCCTTTAGTTTATGACCATGTGTCTCAAGTTCTTCAGATTCTATATTTCCCCTACTATTCTTACCCTCCCCCCTATCTATTTTCTACCTACCATCTATGCTACTTATTTTATGTACCTTCTCCACCCTTCTCCTTCTCCCACTCCCCTGTTGCTAACCCTCCATGTGATCTTCATTTCTATGGTTCCACTCCTGATCTAGCTGTCCTCTTAGTTTGCTTTTGATTTAGGTGTGGTTCTTAATAACTGTGAGTTTGCTGTCCTTTCACTGTTCATCTTTTTTATCTTCTTTTTCTTAGGTAAGTCCCTTTAACATTTCATATAATAAGGGCTTGATGAGGATGAACTCCTTGAATTTGATCTTAACTGAGAAGCACTGTATCTGCCCTTCCATTCTAAATGAAAGCTTTGCTGGATAGAGCAATCTTGGATGGAGGTCTTTGGATTTCATGACTTGGAATACCTCTTTCCAGCCCCTTCTTGCCTGTAAGGTCTCTTTTGAGAAATCCACTGACAGTCTTATGGGAACTCATTTAAAGGTGACTGTCCCCTTATCTCTTGCTGCTTCCAGGATTCTCTCCTTCATTTTAATCTTGGCTAATGTAATTATGATGTGCCTTGGTGTGTTTCTTCTTGGGTCCAAGTTCTTTGGGACTCTCTGAGCTTCCTGGATTTCCTGAAAGTCTGTTTCCTTTGCCAGATTGGGGAAATTCTCCTTTATTATTTGTTCAAATAAGTGTTCCACTTGTGGCTGTTCCTCTTCCCCTTCTGATATTCCTATAATTCGGATGTTGGAATGTTTAAAGATGTCCTGAAGGTTCCTAAGCCTCTCCTCATTTTTTTGAATTCTTGTTTCTTCATCCTTTTCTGTTTGGTCATTTTTTTCTTCCTTCTGGTCTACTCCCTTGATTTGAGTCCCAGTTTCCTTTCCATTACTCTTGGTTTCCTGTGCATTTCTCTTCATTTCAATTAGTTTAGCCTTCATATGTTCCTCTAATTTGTGACTAAAATCAACCAGTTCTGTGAGCATCCTGATCACCAGTGTTTTGAATTGTGCATCTGAGAGTTTAGCTGTTTCTTGGTCGCTTAGAATTATTGGCTCTGTCTGGGGCTTTGAGTTCTTCTTGAGCCATAATTTTTTGCTCTGTTTGGGCCCATTACATTTGAGGAGTGGAGCCCTAGGTGTTCACCAGGGCGGGGCCACCCAGGTCACTGGGTTGTGACACTGTATGTGGGGGTGGAGTCAGAGAGGGATAATAGCGGTCCCCTCTGCTGCTTCCTGCCACTGGGGCCTGTGTGGTTTATCTCACTGCTTGCTCCTTCTCCAGTTTATCTGCGCGAGAATGTGTGACCCTGGTCAGCCCTCAGTGAGTCCTCCGCCTTGCGCCCTCAGTGGGTCTGCCCGGTACTCCACACCTAGGATCCACCCACAGCTGCCTGTGCACCTGGGTTGCACACCCGGGTCGGTCCGGGGGATCTTTCCTGCCCGACCCGCCTCTGTTACTGGCTCTGCCCCTCTTACCAGTTTGGCTGAGTTGTTCGCTGTTGTCAGACTTCCGTATAGTTTAATTTTCTGTGGTTTGGCTGCATTTTTGTTGCTAAAACTTTGTTGTTTTTAAACTTGGTTGTGCAAGAAGGTACAGTGTTTTCACCTACACCTCCATCTTGGTGGAAGTCCCCTCTCAACCAGCTCTTTCTATTCCTCTTCCACCAGAACCTTTCCACTACTCGGTTCATGTTTTTATTTGCCCAACATCCCTTCCTCCACACCTTCTAGTAATAGCCCCACCCTATCCATAAGGAAAAGCATGTGACTAAGGTGGGTCACAAAAGTTGACTCAGAAATGATCAAGCGACCAAGCCAGCCTGGTCTAAGTCTTTCCTTGTGATTGTTCTGATAGGACTTAAAGTGACCATATTCTCTGCTATGTAATTAAGTTTCATTTACAATATGGAAAAATGAAGCCAAACTGAAACAAGGAAGGAAAAAAAGAGAAAGAGATGAAGAAATAGAGTCCTCCTCTTCCTATAAGTGGCCTGAGATGACTTCTGAAAATGATTCA